GCTGAAAGGGCGAGCATGTTTGGTGGGACGGGGATTCGAACCCGCGACCCTCAGATTGCGAGTCGAGCGCCTTATCCATCTGGCCATGCCGGGCCTTGTTGTGCGGTAATAATATTTCTTCCATGTTTCGGGTAATAATATTTACTGCAGTTTTCTTTCAGAAATATATACCCTAACCACCTGGCCATGCCGGATCTTCTATGTGCCTGAAAAATGAGTGTATATTTAATATTGCTAATTTTTCCAAGATATATTAAAGGGAACACTTTTTATAACACAAGTAGCATTCGTTAACTGGAAACTATTATAATAGATTCCCTACGTTCTGTAGCAAATAATAAAAAAAGTACTAGGCCTTGGCTTTCTGTCATTTTTATGATTTAATAATAATAAAAAAGTATCTTATATGTGACGGTCAATCCCCCTTTTCGCTGGTAAAAAAATAGCTCAAGAGTTGGCGGTGTTGACTAACTGCCTTTCCTCTAGTCTATCGCTTGTAAACTAAAGACGGCAAGCACAAACAGCTTTCGGGTAGCTTTGCGCGAAATTTAATAAACAAACAGACGAAATACTCTAAAAAATTAATTTTGAGGTCAAGTGGAGTACTTCTGATATTAGAAAGACAGACGGATAAGTAGTTAAACATATAACGAAAAAGAAGCCACTAACAGAGAAAAATATCTGTGAAACTTTATTGGATACTGGGACATTCCTCACATCACTGGAGGCTGATGGCAAAACGCCATGTTTAGCAAGCTTCTAAATCTTAGAATTTTTCTCCAGTAGTAATCATGCTAGACTAATCTTGTTTAACTTCTTATCTTTATCCTTCACATGAACTTTAACATTGTGACGTCAATTGACCCACAACGTCATATCTAGCTGCCCCCAAAATGGTGTGGCCGTCGTGGACGAGCTTCTTAAATGTGTAACATGCTCAGACGTGTTGCATCCACCTTCATATATATTAAGCAATTATGATGCAATCTAGACTGACCTTTAGACTCAAGAAATACTCTGAGAAAATTCATTTTGAGGCCAAGTGTAATACAAATAATAAATGCCCTACGCTCTGTAACAAATGAAAAAAATAGTCCTGGACCTCGACATTCTTGTAATTTTTATGATTTAATAATAAAAGAGAGTGCCTTCAGAAACTGCAAAAACTAAAATACTTTGGGCCTAGCATATCCTGGTGGTTAGAACTTTCGATTTATAGCTCATGCACAAAGAAAACCTGAAGGAAGCCTTTTCTTATTTCTCCTCATCAGATTTTAAAGCGAAACGTCCCATATGCCAGATGAGTGATTTACTCACTGAACTAAACCCGTTAGTTACTGCCGCTTTTTCGAATATTTCTTTCCAACAAACATGACTCGTCCTCAGGCTTCATCTTAAAGTTGTGAAACAAATATATGGGTGCCTTTTTCTAATAGTAATTTCAATATTTATTTTTTGTCTTCTTAGAGAAGGATTTGAATCCCGAACTTCTCACGCCATGAGAGTTAAAGTGTTAGCCTCGCTAGAAACTCTTTGTAGGACACTTTTATTTTGTTAACAACTAAACTACTATAAACTTTTCCCTAATCTTATTATTATTATTAAGATGGTATTACGGTAAGGTCGAATCAAGGGAGAAGTGTTAAACTTCAATTATCGAAATTTTAGCACTTTGAAAAAAATCAAAAAGGGGAAATCTAGCCGTGAAAAATAAAACGAATATGGAATGTACAGAAATAATCATTATTAAGCTAAATAAATGATATGCTTAACATTGTCGGAACATGACAAAAATGGAGGTTGATATACAGAGGAATTGTCTATGACAAAAAGACTCTATGACGAACTATTAATCCACGAGAGAGTTGTTAAAAATGCTAACTGCTACGCTTCCTACCAAAATAATCATTCCATTAACCTGGTTATCGTTGATAATTGTGACTTTGTTATCCAGCCTATTTTTACCTGAACAACCCTCTGGTGGTAGACGATGCGTCATAAGTGTTTTCTGTCATAGACATTTTCCTCTTGTGTGTCATTCTCCACGTACTCTCCAGTTTTCGCGATGCTCCAACAAAATTGTGAGTGTGAATCACATAATAAACAAGATCAAAATGATTCTGAAGCGTATTAGAATAACAACAACAACAATAACTGCTACAAAAAAATTAAGAGTTAGTTTTAGTGAGATTTATATTTTATCTGTAGGATTATCAAAACTCTCGGCAAATTTTTCATAAAATAAATCGCAAACAATACTGAAACTAAATTATGTGCCTTTGAGATAACCGCGATAAATTGGCCCGTGATTTTTGAACCGATCAATGACGTGACAGGATTCATGGTAGATTCTGTCCACCACTGTACTATAACAGGTGCCAGGACTTGGTTAACGATGTACGGCACCACCAGCCACCGCGGAACGTTTGATGATTCAGTGTCTAATAAACTGTGCCCAGGAAATCAAAAAAGTACAAGCACGGACATTACAGATGCTGATTCAGCTAGAGAAAGAACCAACTACAAGTGATAGATAATTGTTTTCACTTATTTCTCGTCACAGAAGAATTCTCTCTTTAAATGTCACAAAGATCCATGAAGGATTTCGTACACTGACTCTTCCATTACCTAGGCTAACGGACCAATTAGACTTTTCGTAATTTTGTCAACGTTAAAAAGATAATTGACTTTTTTACTTCCTATATCCGTACAGCTGTGACAGTATGGCTATATATGCACATTTTTTATTTTTTTTTACACCTGAATCATTGTTTATCTTCCGCGGACTCTTTATATTCTGTTCTGTAGCTTAAAGGAGTGTGGTCGACTGCACATTTTAACCCTCCCTGGGTTGCGGGGTGCGTCAAACTTGAAGAACAAGTACATCAAATCCTCCCACTCTGCACGATGTGTGTGTGGTCCAGCGGCCTCTCACGGGCTGGTGGTAAACTTGTCGTCTTCACTAGCACTATTGTTATAACACAGGGGATAATAATAGCACAATTGGAACACAAAAACACCCTTAACAGCCTTAAGGAGTTAAATACCAAGCTACTTTCATTGCATCAAAACAAACTTGTATTCGACCATCCTCTGTCGGTGGGTGGTGGTCATTGCCATTGTTATTCACACCTTTCTCTGTCCCTTCTTAGACTTAAGAGGATTAGGCACATTTTCTGCATGATAAGAATTTGTAATTGTGAAAGTATTTTTGCTTAGTAGTCTAAAGAACTCTCAGAGGAGAAACGTAGGTCAATGATCCAAAGTAAACAACAACAGGTGATTGATAATTAGATACAAAACAAGCTGTACAAATATACCACTGTAACCCGAATTATTGAATATTTTACGAAAAAACAAAACAAACCTACTAGCTACTTCACTAAAATAGATATGTTTTATTGATCTATGGCTAGAGTTGATGTGCAACTAATTATTCAAGAAACGAGAAATGTATAAATCAACGTGGTGAATAAACGGTTAAATGTGTTTAGTCTTTCCCACATTACTGTATGTTTGTACAGCGAATTTGTTAAAGTGTGTTATTTTATGATTTATTACCTACACATGTATACAAGAACAGTTAGAACGTGTTTAGGCTTAACATGTACCTCTGTGTCTACATTTTAATTCCAATAATGAATAGTTTTCTTCATAACCCACAATAAACGCAATGATTCACTGTAGCTGGTGCATGAGCCATGCAAAAAGGCTTGAGTTGAGATCCAAGTGAAATAAGTCACGCACTTAGTGACAGAACCGATGTAGCATAAAGATATAAGCCTGGTTTACGTTTGGGCACTAATCAGCATGAGACAGAAGTCACACAAATAATTGGTTCCACTGTCCTTGATGGACAAGATAATAAAGGAAATGACGTGGGAATTGTGGGAATAATTTTGCAACGTGCATATATTACGTAAACATTTCACTACAGAAGTTCTGCTGTACGTTTCATTGTTTCAAGCATGCCGAACAAAAATATATAAAAGTAGAAAGTAAATACTAGAATAAGTAAACAAAATGGAATGCTATATACATTAGGAAGACAGGAACTATTGGAAGTATATATATATTTCAGTTGTCGTTTATGTTATTTTGTAGTCTTAACAAATGTATATTACATCGTCTTATTTATCATTTAGAACGTGAGTTATTTTAATGGCCGACAATAAAATATGTTTTACAGCAAATCCGACAAAATCTCCATAATGTATAGATGTATAACTATATTTTTATAATTAAGCGATACAATAGTAATGTAAACAATTATAAGCACATAGCTCTCAGCTTGACTGCATCATTTATAGTACTCAGTTTGAAATGGATAACTTTGTAAATAACTGAATCTGTCGTGATTATTGGGTAACATATGTACTTATGTAAAGTCAGTTTTTATTAATCAACTTACAAAAAATATCTTCTCACGTAAAAACAACATATCTAGCTTGCAGACAGGCAGAGTGTTTTCCACTTTTACCACAAGTATAAACTAACACTGAACATTAAGCTCTTCGCAACTCTTTCCCTGGATTATTCAACTTACACAACCCACAAACTATGCTCCTACTGCTCCATAATCCAAAACTCAACACGTTACCTCATTCACTAACACATACAAGAGGGGTGCCTTATTAGTGAATTCTCTCCCTGGATTATTCAACTTACACAACCCACAAACTATGCTCCTACTGCTCCATAATCCAAAACTCAACACGTTACCTCATTCACTAACACATACAAGAGGGGTGCCTTATTAGTGAATTCTCTCCCTGGATTCATCAGTTTACACAACCATTTCCACTACTCCTGCACAATCCAAAACTCAACAGGGTATCTTACTCACTATGCAACTCACAACTCAGCAAAGCCCTTTACGCTCTATACTTGAAGACCTCACAACACGTTAAAACATTTTATCAACACATGTCCACAAATCGTAGTTCAACATCGTTTTAAACTTGAACAATTCAATACTAAACGTCAAAATTACAAAACGTGTCCCAGCTGAGCAGGATTCACACTGTACCCGCTAAACCTGCACCACTCTAAACCGATCAGAACTGTTTACAACTCAATAATCAACAGGAAATCCCAATTACTAAACTTGTCCCAGCTGAACAGGACAGACATTATACCTGATAAACCTGCACCACTCAAAACCGATCAGAAAACATGTACACAAATTAGCAAGGCAACCTAGTTGGTACATCTACACAACTAGTAATTAGACAGTGTACTATCCATTAAAGCTTCATAGCTCACAGCCGTACAGAGCAAACCATTCGATAATTCTAAACAAGTCACAACTTAGTACAATATCCACGTCGTAATTCTGCACAGTCTACAACTTAACAGGAACTCTACGTCGTAATTCTGCATAACTTAGTACCCAGAAAACACTATACGTTGCAAGGTAAATTTGCACAATATACAACCCACTAGGAATTCGTAATTCTCCACAAACGCAAACCCGGTTTGAAGATTATGTCGCAATTCTGCTCTCTTAGCTTACTCGACATGAGATATAACACAACAAAGTAATCAATTAACAATTCATACAAAAAAAAATTTAATTCTGCGCTAGAAGTAAGCAACACGAGAGATTCACGGTCGATGAAACGAAGGGCAATCCATAAAAAATGTTTCAACAAACACTCTGTAACAAGTGTTATCACGTTTTCAGAAGAAATAATCTGGAACAAATAAAGCGAATTAAGGCTAATATACTGACCTCGTTTCCCCACTCTGAAAAGTTGAACCGGTACAGCCGTGACACAGAAAAAAACGGCTGTTCTAGCTTTTTAGTAACTAACTAAAACTAATAAACTGGAAGCACACGATGGACGTCAATTACATTCGAGATTACTCAAAATAAATCACGAAGTCCATCCTATCAGACGGTAGATTACACGAAGTAAGTCGCGAAGTCCATTCTATCAGACGGTATATTACTCGAAGTAAGTCACAAAATGCATCCTATCAGACGGTAGATTACACGAAGTAAGTCACAAAATCCATTCTATCAAACGGTATATTACTCAAATAAATCACGAAGTCCATCCTATCAGACGGTAGATTACACGAAGTAAGTCACAAAATCCATTCTATCAGACGGTATATTACTCAAAATAAATCACGAAGTCCATCCTATCAGACGGTAGATTACACGAAGTAAGTCACAAAATCCATTCTATCAGACGGTATATTATTCGAAGTAAGTCACAAAATGCATCCTATCAGACGGTAGATTACACGAAGTAAGTCATAAAATGCATCCTATCAGACGGTAGATTACACGAAGTAAGTCACAAAATGCATCCTATCAGACGGTAGATTACACGAAGTAAGTCACAAAATCCATTCTATCAGACGGTAGATTACACGAAGTAAGTCACAAAATCCATTCTATCAGACGGTATATTACTCGAAGTAAGTCACAAAATCCATCCTATCAGACGGTAGATTTACACGAAGTAAGTCACAAAATCCATCCTATCAGACGGTACATTTCCAAAAACAATCTTATATTACTTGTTGCCTGGCCCTTTGACTGATTGCAACTACAACTTAACTAAACTTGCTTGGACCTCTGATTGATTGTAACTACAACTTAACTAAACTTGCTTGGACCTCTGATTGATTGTAACTACAACTTAACTAAACTTGCTTGAACCTCTGAGTGATTGTAACTACAACTTAACTAAACTTGCTTGGACCTCTGATTGATTGTAACTACAAGTTAACTAAACCTGCTTGGACCTCTGATTGATTGTAACTACATCTTAACTAAACTTGCTTGGACCTCTGATTGATTGTAACCACAATTTAACTAAACTTGCTTGGACCTGATTGATTGTAACTACAATTTAACTAAACTTGCTACAATCATTGATACGAAATACGATTAAGAAATAAATGTATGTTAATTGTTAATAAAAACTGGGAACTGTTTGAAATAAATACTTTAATTAATTTAAAACGTTTTTATATTTTGTT